ATATCCTTCTGTTACCACTTAGAAGCTTTATTGTTTTATCTTTCATATTAAATCTCATTGATGTTAGAACTGATTTTTGGGTAAGGTACGAGATAGGGGATACATTTTGGTTTTTTTTCTATCAATATCGGATTAAATGCTTTAAAGTGTTTTAGAAACTTGAAAACTGTTTATTTCAATGACTTTCAACTTTTACTATGCAATGTTTAATCTACGTATTTATATATTTTATCGAGCTATAACTGACATATAACATCGTTAGTTTTAGGTGTACAACATAATTCAATTTGTGTATATATTATGAAATGATTACTACAATAAGTTTAGTTAACATCTACCACCACACAGTTAAAATTTTTTTCCTTCTTGTGATGAGAACGTTTAAGATCTACTTTCTTAGCAACTTTCAAATACAGAAAACACTATTGTTAACTAAAGTCACCATGTTGTATATTATATCCCTAGGACTTATTTATATTATAACTGAAAGTTTGTACCTTAATATTTTAATTTACATTGCCCCTTTAATTTATACTGTGTTTACAAGTTTATACATTATACTGTACTTAGTTTGCTAAATGGGTAAATTTTATCAACCCATCTCCTTTCCTTATCTATTATTAGAATGACCATTATAGCTGAACTAATAAAGTTCACATTAATGTAGTTTTGTGACTAGAAATGTCATAATTTGACACTTAAATTATATAATCTTTTAGGAAGCTATTCATTTCAGTTTAGGTTTTTTGCCAATTAAAGCATATGATCATCAATTGCTCAACAGTGTCTCAGCTATGAACACAGTTTATAGACTGGATATTTTCTGAAACTATGTAATGGACCACTTTTCATGTTTTTCTATTCAAGGTTCCTTTTAGAAATGACGAAACCAAGTATTTTTTGTCACATCATCTAAGTATAACAAAATTAGGAAAAGTAATAATTAGAAAAGATATACTTAGAAGTCAAAATTTTAATAAAAAGTATCTCATAACTTACAAGAACAAAGGATACTTATATAATTGTCCCATGTTGCTAATGATTGTCCCTATAAATCTCCAGTCATGTTCAACTCTAACAACATTGAGTATGGATTAGTACCAGTTTAGAGGAGGCCTCCTTTCAGTGGACTGGACTGGTCCAAAGTTAGCCATGCTTTATATGCCTTGACAAAATTGAGACAGTTATGAAGGTATCTCCATTGCTTGGGTCATTTTAGACTTGAAATCTCATAGTACCTTAGATTTCTGTTTGTTTATACCAAACACAGGGATTTTGTCTTATTCACCACTAAATACTTACCACTAGGTTAGTTCCTATTATGTAGTAGGTGCTCAAAAAATGTTTGAAGGAACTTAGGATCTAGGTAATAAATTACATCTCTGGACTGTTTGGATTCCATGAAAGATCTTGGAATGGAAGAGGCCAAAATCCAAGCTTAAATGGTTCGCTCACACTTAGAACCATACTTAGAACATAGCATGCTTAAACACACACACACGCGCACACGTAGCAATTTAATTTTTGACATTTTCTTGTAAGTTGATTGATAGTTAACAAGGGGACTTCCGTAGTTTGGGAAAGTAAAAGAAATGGTTTTAGGAAACCCAGCATGGGAAAATGGGAAGATAACATAATAAGTTAATGTTCCTGTGTCATTCGGGGCTCCCTGATAGCTCCCTGTTTCTTTCTCTTTGTGCACAACTACATTTTGCAGAAAATTAAAGAGATTAGAAATTTAGTCGTATTCTTAACCCTATGGTTAAGTGCTGAGATAAGAGAAACATTAGTTTCACTATTTCACAGTTTTATTCAAAACAGAGCAAGCGTCTGTGCAAACACATTACAGAATGATTATGGTTTCTCGAGTAAAGAATAAATATTTTTGTTATTTGCAAGAGTGCTTTTCCCTATGAAGATAGAAACCTGGAGACTGGCCATTCAATGAACTATTTTGGAGGAGTTTATTCTAACTGTTTTATGATCAGGGCAAAGCATATAAGCTTAGTTCAAATAATTTATAGAACCTTAACAATGTAGCAAGGTGTAAAATACATGGGGAAGGGAATAAGTTTTTACTATTTTATATATTCTGACTTTGCTGGTAAAAAGTAAGTGCATTTGGAAAGAGAAGCAGCTCTTTATTTTGTAGTTGAATTTCAGGGACACAAAAGCACAGATGTCCTTTCTGACTTCACACTGCAGTGAACACCTGTTACGTATACCTCCCCAGCATTCATTCTTCCTCTTGGTAATAATAATCTGATTTCCCATTAGGGAGCTACTCCTTTACCATTTCAGTCCATTTCGGTGGTACAAGTGAAAGTGACCCTTCCCAGCTTAAACTTACACTCCTGAAATTCACAAAGAGGCATGTTACTCAGACCTGGCCAATCAGAGCATCGCAGGCCCCTGGACACAGGTACTGGTTCAGAAATGGGTAAACAAGACACATTCTCTGAGTTCTTAATGGAGCTATTGGGAATATGGTAGGTTCTTCATGTGTGGGGATGATGGGCTGGATAAAATGTAAGCCCGAAATCAGCCTATCTTTGCTACAGTATAAGAAGAGCCTTTGAGAATGAAACCAACAGAAGAAAACAGAGCCCAGATATAGAGTCAAAATTACAATCACTGAAGCACCCATCGTGACAGAAGGAAGACCCACCATGGGCTATTCAGTTATATGAACCAAGAAATTCCCTTTTTTTTTTTGCCTAAGCCAGTTTAAGTAGGATTCAGAGCCTTGTAACTGAAAGAGCTCTGACTGGGATCAGCATCTATGAGTCTTTTACTTGCAATGACTTGGCTAGGTAGAAGCTGAGGTTAAAAGTCCAAGAAAGCTGCAGCTCTTGAAATTCCTATAAACTTGACTGATGTGAGGAAACTTTTGCTCTTACCTCGCTGTCTCAGCTCTGAACCTAACACAGGTATGTCTACAATGTCATTTTTTTAAAAAAAATAGAAAAATAGGCATGATACTCACTGGTCCACTTCCTGCTGTGAGATTCTGGAGGGCTCCTAAAGATGCCTCCTGGGTGTAGTTGCGGACACTCTTAGCGATCAAGGACAAATACATTCGTATCACAATGGAGTGCCATAGCCACTCCACACCCTTGGGGTTGCTCTTTTCCTCTGGCATAGGCATGTCCTGGTATTGCTAACAACACATATGATGAATTCCAGAATTAATGCCTTCAAGTGATTTTGGCAATTCCATACCCAAACCCAGAGAACAGAAATACTGTCTAGTCTAGAGAGACTAACAATTTGCATAATAAGAAGCCCTTGAAATAGAAATGAAAAAGCAAATATGTATGATTTCCAACCATTTAACTTTTAGCCCATGACGATTTCTCCCTAGCAACATCCCATACCCCCCAACTTTACATTTCATAGTGAGAAAGGAATCAGAGAATTAAGCATAGGCTACTGTAGAATAGTTTTCAGGCTGCTATTAAACTAAAAGCTAAATTAGTCACAACCACGCTGAAGATAAGAAGAACAGGCCTCTTCTCTCAGAGTCTAGTAAGTGGTCCAGGATCACATCAGGATTCTAAATTTACCAGCTGTTCTCCAAGTTCACAAACGCCATGTAGGATAGGTCACATTCTTTCAGTTTTCATGAAATGCTAGCATGGATATTCCTTCCTACAGGTTTGCTTTTAAGAAGTCCAAGATGCGCTTTTCGAATGTCCAAATCCAAATATCAGGGCTGCTTTTAAGGTTAAAAGCATTAATGTTGGCCATGTTGCATTAAGCCTATTTCCTAACCTATAGGGCATAAATCAGTATGGTTTAATGGCTAACAATGCAAATCTAGAGCCAGACTGCCAGAATTCCATCCCCTCTACTAATTTGCTAAATTATTCTGGAAAAACTGATTAACCTTTCTGTACCCCTGCTTTCTCATCAGTAAATAAAGGTATTAATAATACATACTTTGTAGGGTTGATGTAAGGATTTAAAGAATCTAAGATAGTGCCTGACATATACTAAGTACTCAGAAATATACACACATACACACTTATTTTTCAAAGTCCTCTCAAAATACCTCTTTTACTTTCCTGCTTCGACTGCCAAAACACCCAATACTTTTGTTGTTGTCAGTCTGGATGTTCCGGTTTTGACTATAGATACTCTGGGAATATTTCTCTGGGAGCTCTGCCTCCAGCTGGTAGGAGAGGTTATGAAGAATGCACACACAGTTCTCTGTGGCCTAAGAAAACAAAACATGAATATTGATCATACATGTAGAGATATGCAGGTGTGATATCACAGGACTTATTAGGCTTTAGATCTTACAAGGTATACTGGATGCTTGGACTATAGGGAACCTGGGGGAGGAAAATGAGTATGGCTAGAAAGGCTAGATCATAAATGGTTATGAGCACAATGCTAAGAAGTAAAGGCTGAATTTTTTTAAAACACTGGGGAGCCTTTCTAGTTTACGTTTTAAAGACTGTGTGCAGAATAATTCTATATTTTAGATAAATAACTTAGAAGCCATGCAGAGTTGGAAAATAGGAGGTGATGTTGTTTAGGAACCAATCTAGAGTTAGTTACAATAATCAGTATGAAAGCTGCACAAACCAGGACAGCAGAAGTAGCACTTGAGAGAAGTGGATAAACCAAAGGACATTTCAGAGGTAGAATGGACATTATTAGTTGCTCCATGAATGTGAAATGTGAGGGAAGGGAGGCAATCTGAGATTACTCATATTTCCATTTTTATTTGGTGGATAGTGATAATTATTAAGAAGGATTACACAGAGAAGAAGCAAGTTTGGGGATGAAGAAAGAGATAAATTTAAGTGCATTGCTGAACATGTAGCATTTGGGCTCCTTTCAAATTTCTAGAGTTGTTAAATGGATAGTGAGAAATTTGGGTCTGGAAAGTAGAAAGAAAAATGAGGCTAGATAGATTTTAATATTTCTAAGCAAGTATGGGAAATCTTCGGCCTAGCGAATGAGTCAATGAATAAAGCTAAACCCAAACAGCTACTTTGAGAATACTCTGTTGTATAGCAACTATACTTAAATTAAAACAAATAAACACTGAAGAGTCTTAGTAAGATGAAATAAGTAATTCAATATGTAAGCTATTTAGCTCTTGGATCACCTTGTCATCTGGCTGGTAATCTGCAATGGTCCCTCTGACATAGTGGACCAGTGAGTCAATCAGTCCATCACACCTTCTCATCACTTTCCTCCCATCAGGGCCAGCTGAACTCATGTTTCTATCAGGGAAAACAAATGAACAAAAAACCATAAGACTTAGGCCATGTATGCAATAGGTCTTTGTTTTAAAGTTTTATTTGATGCTTCTTCCAAGGGTTTGGGAAACGGGCAAATTTGTAAAACTGTGTCAGACTTATGCTGGGTCTATGCTTAGTGATCGTCAAATCGAAACGCAACTTCTAAATATATTTATATAACACGTCATCATGTCAATAAAAATTTGTCTACTTCATTCTAAACAATAAGGTTATAGCATTATTTACTTAATCTTTATCCCACTTTTGAGAATATACATGAAGCAAAGATTTTGCAATTAAAAGAACAAATGACAACATAGACATGGTAGTGTACTAGATAGCCAAGTCCCAACTTGTTCTGTGACTTAACTCTAATTTACAAAAAGTTGCTTAAATTCATTGGGCCTCAGTTTCCTCATTTAAGACAGTATGCTGTATTACATTAGTGGGGGTTTTGCAGGTTTCAATGTAAACTTTTATTGACAAATATTAAACCAGATGCTCTAAAATGTGATGACTGCATAATTAAAATGGAGGAGAGATGTCACAAAAAATGCAGGGTTTCACAGTGTGTTCGACCTAAGTCGAAAGTATGACCTATAAATATTTTTGCACTTAGTCTATTTCTAATTTTGCTAAGCCATGACACCTTTCTATAAACAGTAACTAAATCTACAAGTGGAGGTTGCTTCCTTATAGAGAACTGAAGCTTAATCAAATACAGCAAAGTAATATGTTTGGGAATCATCTTTGGATTAAGTTTTTCTTGTTAACATTAACCATTTAAAAATATTTTCTCCCCAAAATGTTAATATCTTTATCAACAAGAATGGCAAAAAAACCAAACCAAACCAAAAAACCAAAAAACCAAAAACCAAAACCAAAAACACCCCCCAAAACAAAAAAACCCAATGCTTTTAGGTTTTTAGAATTTTGAGAACCACCCTTATTTCCTTTTACTAACTTCAACTGCTAATAACTACCTCTATAAAATTTATTAGACCGGTTCCTTTTACAAGAACATGACTGTTTTTAACCGACAAAAATGCAATTTCATGATTCAACCTAATAGCTAAGGAGATAAGATTAACAATCGTAAAACTATGAATATACTAACAATTTAGTGGCTGCTGAATTGATGCAACAAACTTCTGATTTTAACAAAGTCCCTTCTGTGACTCTGGTTCTCACTAGACATTTCTAATTAAAGATTTACTTCCTCACTTAATTTTACTGTACCTGACTTTGACACTTTGTCCATGAAGAAAAGATAGTGAATGGGTTCATAAACTGATAATAAAACCATTTTTACCATAGTTTATTCTCAAGAAATGATCGTTTGAACAAGATCCTCTATCTATTCTCTGAATCCATCTCATTATTTTATACATGAAGAAACTGAGGTCCAAAGGGTTTAAGTTACTTTCCTGGTGACAGCAAAGCAGTGATAAAGTTGGGATAGGAGAGCCGTTCTTGTGCCAGGAGTGGCTCCAGAGTGGTAGCAAAGCTCATCTAACATTCATTTGGTCTGCCATTTGTTTAGCAAATACCATATGTCCGAAGCTCCAAGACAATGCTATCATGCTTTAAAGCTTCCCTTTGACTTTTTCAACCCCTGGCTTAGAAAAATGGCAGTAGTTTAAAATTGCTTTGACAAATCAAAAGGTCTGTCTTTCTCACTAGCGAAACTCACTACATACCTAGCAGATAAATGACTTAGCTTTGTTTAACTTCAGGGTGTTTATTTTGGGTTAGAATGGTAATTCAACTTGGCAGTACTGCCAGTTCACACACACTAACTGTTGTCTTGTAGTGTGGTATTATCCAGACTCTACTTGCTTGAAATGGGACTTATCAGGGGTTTCTGGCAGCTGATACCTTTGCTGACAGAAAGTGCATGGAACTCCACTGCTTCAGTATTTGCTCTTACATATCAAAAATAGTTCTTACCTTACTCAACTACCCCAAAATATGAATGATAAGGGGGTATTATTTTATAGCACTATATCCATGAATAGAAGTCACTAGTCAGAAAGGAATTTGCTATGGTACCACTCAATAATTATTAGAAAATAATGTATCTATCTTAGGTATTTTTTTTCAATAGCTAATATTTCATTTTGTGGGAATCAGAGAATTAACGTGGCTAATCGTAGGCAGAACTGATCCTTCCACAATGTATCTCTTGAATCCTGAGAAATATTTACCTATAACTTTTCCTTACATATAGCCCAATAGAGGTTTAATATGGAAAAATATCTCAAAACTATAAACAAAACATATCAAAACGATTATCTCATTGAAAAGTAAAAGAATCATATAGACACAACAGTTACTAAAAACTGATTATTAGAGTTACCAATGAATATATTAGAAATGTTTAATTTGGTGTCTATTGTTAGAATTAGATTAAATTATGACTTTATTTTCACCTGGTATAATCTAACAGAAGTCTGAGTAAATATGTGGGTGCCTTTTAGGAAACGACAACTGTACATTATTGTATCCTGAAATTTAAAAGCCAGGTCTTTAGACGGGGGTTAGATGCTAGGGGTCGGGGCGTCAGGAGGAGGGGGAAGTGGAAGAGATAAACAACTTTGCACATGAAGTAGGTTGTTCAGGAGCTCTTCGCCTCCACTGAGCCTAAATGGGAGGATTCCAGCTTGAATTGTAACTTGTGTCTGATATTAAGAAGAATATTTCTCGTAATATGAAGTGTGTGTGTGTGCGCGCACATGTGTGCACACGCGGGGGAGGGGGAGAATAGAATCTGAACTCTGTATGTCTCTGAACAAAACTTCGTATATTTAGGATTCAGTTGTTTTATGTGAAAGCAAATCAGTGATTCATGACTCTCTCCAGGACCACTAATCTCACACATTCCTGAGTGTCACAGTGAAAAGGAGAAAAGAAAACCAAACACTCTGGACCTTGCTAGAATTAAAAGGAAGAACGGTATGTCTTTGTTAAGATTAATGACAGTGTGACTAAACTTTAAATTTATATGGCAAACCAAAGAATGGACAATGTCAAATGATAAAAGCAGCTGCAATTTAGTGTATGTGCTAGACGTTATAGTAGGTACTTACAAATATCATGATCTGTAATTTTTACAAAATTTCTGAAATTAAGGCTCACTAAAACCTTATTCAAAATCCTGACCTGTGACTCTTGTTTAAAATCAGAATTATCTGCTTCTAACAAGATTTCTATTGTGGTGTGTGTGTGTGTATGTAGCTAGGGGCAGATGGGCTGTCAAATAGCTAGTTTTCCAGCACTGAAAAGAAAGGAAGTTTGTTACAACACAGAATGTCCAAGCTCGGTGAACGGTCAACTAATTGGCTTAGGGAAACGATGTACTGATATAAAATGTTTATAATAAGAAGATATAATTGTTTCCAGGACATGAGAATGACAGACCACAGTAGGGTTGGAGTGACCCTTTTCAAGGCACTTTGCCAACAAAATAAGTAATTCTAAGAGGCAGATTTTTTTTTTTTTTTAAATAGGGCTATTTCTATTGATAACAGGTGCAGTTGCCTACTACCATAGTTTACTGTGCATCATGTGCAAGACCTGCTGCCTCTGGGACTAGTTTTAAAGTCTAACCAGCACACTGAGACAGTGATCACCTTGATGGTTTTTAGAAACTTGTAGGTGCATCTTTGCGTTCACTAACAATTATAGGCTTCCTAATACTGTGTGTTGTAAACCGTGCAGGAAGGCCCCAAATGTTACCAGTCAATTAAGTGCTTGGTCAGAGTCCATTCTAAGACCCAATGGGCACTTGGTAAGACCCTAGCTGATAAAGAGGCATCCTTCTTCCTCTTGTTATTTGAGATGGAGGTCTGGGCTTTTGTTTAACTCTCAGCTGATACATATCAAACAGTTGGGCCTTGTCTGTGATTAACCCAGAGAAAGCAGCAGAGGCAGCTTGTGGTTTGCATATAACAAAAGGGCAGCCTCATTTGAACTGGCAGAGCAATAAAAAGTCTCTGCCAAAGAAGGGCTTGTCTGTTACTCTGAAGGCAACATCAGATCCTGAAGGTATCCGCAAACATCAGCCAAAGTCAACTGTTATATCTGCAAACAGAAGCAACATTGGGAGATAGAACAAAGCTCTACAACCTACACATTTTTTTCTTTCCAGGGCAAGGAACATTAACTGAACAAAGATAAGTCAGCATCTATTACACATGAAGAAACTGGAAAGTGGAGGAAAAGAAAATCTATTCTTAAAAATCCTATAGTTCTGCTTTCCTGAATTTTTGGGTCTTCTAAAAGTATTCTGAATAGTCAAAGCAGCCAGTAATCAACTGATTGGTAGGCAACAGTCTTTCTTCTTGATTTACCAGGCTGTTCAAGGTAGAGTGCCAAATTCCATTTAAAATCAATAATAAACAGCAAACGAATTTATAAAATATGTCCAGGAGCCATTGGATCGTGAGTTGATGTTCCTGACACCTAAAGGAGATATCTAGGATGCCAGAAGAGAATTGGTAAAGATGCTCAAGACCTAGAGTAGGATATATGATGCTCAGCCTGCATCTCTAAGACAGGGACAGATTTTAACCACAAGAGAACAAGAGTCATCATTAGCTTTATCCACTTATTTTTTTTATAATGATGAATTTTAAAAAATTTAATAGTCCTGACTATGATGATAGTCTTTAGGTTTTTTTTTTTTGAAAAAGACTTTCAGTATTATAAGATATAGTTAATAAAATACTACCTCCAATTTAAGCTATATACAGATTTAAAAAAAAAAAACATGAGGAAGCTTTTAAAAATCTCTGATAAAGAGATTCTTGGGAACTTTTTTTTCTGTTCAAGATTCACCTCATAAACTGATGAATAAAGACAAGCAAATATAGTCCTCTTGACATAATAAAAATCGTTCCTCTGTTTCCTTTGTTTGTTTTTCCTCTGTATTATCTCTATTCATGTATTTTCTTTAATAATTATCCCAGGGCTGTGCCCAA